CAATACATTTATGTTTTTCGGATTTCCCTTTATATTTGCTTGAAATGCAGCCTTCGACGAAGCAATATGCAACCATCTCGATTTTTTTTTGTCACGAATAGTTTCAGCCTTGGAATGCCTTGGAACTCTGAGCTGCTCTGAGCACGTCTTTGACTACAGTCAAAGGGTGCTTTCCGATTCATGCATGATGTGCATGAAGCGATAAAAAATCGTTTCGTTTAACGCTATTACGTACATTAGTATACATTTGATGCATCGTTGCCATGGTGAAGTGGGAGAAGTGTGTATATTTCCCTATAATTTTCTAGATTTCTCTCACTTTTTACGCGCATTATCTGCTTCAAGTCTTTAGGTGAGGCAATTAATGTGACATCCTTAAAAGATTGGTTCTCATAAATATTTTCTCGATTTTATCGCCAGATAGTTGAAAAAATAATAATATTAATATCAAGTAAAAATGGTAACGCAAATAAGGTTACGAGAGTTGCCAATTTTAATTGAAAATACTAGAGAGATTTTAACCTTATTACTAAATGAAAAAGATTTTGAAAGAGCAAACAAGGGTGAGGTTAATTATTATTAAAAACTTATTATTATAATAATAGTTGTTGAAAACTTATTATTATATTTAATATATATATATATGATAATAGAGATCCTTCCTTTTCTTCACATATATTTGGAGACAAAAAATATAATATATAACACCTTCTGCTATCGCAAGTAGCGAGGGTCCCTCATCGTCACTATCGTTATATTCTATAAAAAATTCTGAAAGAGATACAGAAAAGGAGAAAGAAAATGAAATTAAATTTCCTTCTACAAAAAGAGAAGTTGATCAATCCAATGCAACAATAAATCGTAAATATATTTTACATATATAGATATGTATATGATGTGAGATAACAATATTTGTAAAACATTAACAGAGTAGAGTACTTTAAATTCTATATGTAATATATATATTCTATACATAATATATTCATATTTATAGCGCCTGAAAAAAAAGACGTATTGAAACAATAGTAAATAGTTATGTTGATAATTTAAAAAATATTATGGAAGAACGGGATAAAGAAAAACAGAAGATTAAAGCTCAACGTGAAAAAGAAAAGCAAATGCAATATGAAAAGAGAAGGCTAGATAAGCAGAAGATGCACACAGATAAAATGGCAATACAAGAATCCATATTACAATTATTTACATCTTTAATAGATAAAGAGAAAGATACGAAAAAGTAAAACAGCATATTATTTTATCTTTTTTTTATTTTCATGTTACAAAATGTTATTAAAAACGTGATATATGTGTGATAATGATATTAACAGTTTTTTTAAATTACATTGAAAGTTACTTGAAAGAATGATATACAGGGTGAATCTTATATAATAACTGTACCAACGTTTTATTATGGGAAATAAATTATCGACTGCAACTGGAAAAAGCATAAGAGAGAGTGTAAGAGAGAGTGAAATATTCATCTCTCATGATAAAACGTTGGTACAACTATTAAGATTCACCCTGTATATGTCTAACATAAATGTTATTTTAGTTTGAAATATATGTATAACAGAAGCGTTATTTTAATTAGATATGTATAACAAGTGTTATTTTAGTTATAACAAAATAATAATTCTTTTAATTACTCCTGAAAAAATTTAATTTTATTATGTGATGATATGATAAATAAGAAGTACAAAAAGGAAGTAAATATAAGAATAAATTGAATTTAAGTAGTCTTTACTTAAATTCAATTTATTCTTATATTTACTTCCTTTTTGTACTTCTTATTTATCATATTATCACATAATAATACTTTGCTCATAATATTATACTTATGTTCATTATACATACAAAATGTATTATTAAATTTTCATAAAATGGTTCGATATTAGGTAGTGAGAAAAGAAACAGAATTATGAATGAATTAAGGCACAGATTATAAGTATACGCGTTCTTAAATATTTTCTTTTTATTTAGGTCTTTGTTCATTACATCTGACCATTTGACAATCTATCATATCATTTTTTAAAATACAAATATTATGTAATACACAACAGGCTATTATAAATTCAGGAATATGTTTTATACCCAGTAATGGTAAACAGTTTAAAAGTATACGAAAACGAATTTTTAATAAAGCAAATGCACGCTCTATAGCCATTCTTGTTGAAAACACACACACAAGCAATAATTATAATTTTTTTGAGAAATTGACAAGTGACCATTATCTCGAAATGGTACCATAACATGAGGATGAATTGGATAGGCTGCATCACCAATTATATGTGAATCATCAATGAAATATTCATCAGGCATTTCAATAAAATTTGACACTGATGAGTTCCTAAATACTCTGGCATCGTGAACCGACCCTACTTGCCCAGCATAACAGTGTGTAAATAAACATCTTGAATCACATACAGCTTGTAAAATAATAGAATGATCGCCTTTTCTGTTGACATAGGATGCTGCATCTTCCTTAGGTGCACGTATTCGAATATGCGATCCGTCTATTGCGTCAATAACTTTTGGAAAACCAGAACTTTTTTGAAAATTTTCCACTTGACTTCAATAGCACGTTCTCTTTTAGGCCATTGAATAATTTGAAATGCAAGACAGTGGAGAGCATATATAACTCGTCTTACAGCTCTAAAAGCTGTAGTTTTTCCAACCCCAAACATTTCACATACAGATCTAAAATAAAAATATAATTTATATTAATAGGTTATTATATATTTAAGCAACAACGGTTGAGCTAGCTATTTTTTACGTGATCTCAG